AGAATGGGAAAGAAAGGTGATTTAAGCAATTTTGAGCGTTTCATGGTTGTTGGTGCCAGACGGGCCGGTCTGAGTATTTCACAATCTGCTCAGTTACTGGGATTTTCACGCACAACCATTTCTAGGGTTTACAAAGAATGGTGTGAAAAGGGAAAAACATCCAGTATGCGGCAGTCCTGTGGGCGAAAATGCCTTGTTGATGCTAGAGGTCAGAGGAGAATGGGCCGACTGATTCAAGCTGATAGAAGAGCAACTTTGACTGAAATAACCACTCGTTACAACCGAGGTATGCAGCAAAGCATTTGTGAAGCCACAACACGCACAACCTTGAGGCGGATGGGCTACAACAGCAGAAGACCCCACCGGGTACCACTCATCTCCACTACAAATAGGAAAAAGAGGCTACAATTTGCAAGAGCTCACCAAAATTGGACAGTTGAAGACTGGAAAAATGTTGCCTGGTCTGATGAGTCTCGATTTCTGTTGAGACATTCAGATGGTAGAGTCAGAATTTGGCGTAAACAGAATGAGAACATGGATCCATCATGCCTTGTTACCACTGTGCAGGCTGGTGGTGGTGGTGTAATGGTGTGGGGGATGTTTTCTTGGCACACTTTAGGGCCCTTAGTGCCAATTGGGCATCGTTTAAATGCCACGGCCTACCTGAGCATCGTTTCTGACCATGTCCATCCCTTTATGGCCACCATGTACCCATCCTCTGATGGCTACTTCCAGCAGGATAATGCACCATGTCACAAAGCTCGAATCATTTCAAATTGGTTTCTTGAACATGACAATGAGTTCACTGTACTAAAATGGCCCCCACAGTCACCAGATCTCAACCCAATAGAGCATCTTTGGGATGTGGTGGAACGGGAGCTTCGTGCCCTGGATGTGCATCCCACAAATCTCCATCAACTGCAAGATGCTATCCTATCAATATGGGCCAACATTTCTAAAGAATGCTTTCAGCACCTTGTTGAATCAATGCCACGTAGAATTAAGGCAGTTCTGAAGGCGAAAGGGGGTCAAACACAGTATTAGTATGGTGTTCCTAATAATCCTTTAGGTGAGTGTATAAAGGGAGGGGGTGCCCTTTTTCAGTTTCAACACATGCCCCTCAAAAGGTCTGTGCACGGTCCTGCCATGATGCTTTGAATTCCTCCTGTAGTCAATAATTGTATCCCTTGAAAACTCATCTTTGATCACCAAAAAATTTTTCTGTGAAAATAATTTCTTAATGCCTTAAAAAAGCTTAAATGTAACTCTACACCCTTGCTTTATTTAGTATACTAGATCCATGAATATGCTAATTAGCCCTGCCTCCACTCACTTGCGCCAGCTCAGATATTCACTTGGCTAACTTGCTGAGGTAAACGCTGCACAATGGTATTACTCTTTACAACGTAAGACACATAATGCTAATTAATACTATTGGCCTTTTCTTGACTATGTTATTAAACAGCTAATAATGTGTTGCTAATGTTACACAAACCATGTTCCCGTTCACCATCTCAGAGTCAGGCAGCTGCCTTCTAACAATCATCAGAAACGCTTTGAACAACTCAGAACGTCAGTGGACAAAGGCGTATAGTTAATCATAACGTAATATACATCATACAGACGCTATTTTGCTCAATCTACCCATTTTTCATATCAACAGAAAACTATAACGGGATAACCTGGCTTCTCTTGCAACTCCCCTGCTAGTTCCTGTTAATGATATGCTAAAGCCTGCCGGCACGTTGACGTTATTGGTTAAAGGTAGTTTGTGACGTCAGGAAAAAACAGCGATTTCAAACAGCGTTTTTTAGACTCTTTGGTTCACTGCAGTTTTAAAGAGAAAATACTCAGCAATGGTGTTGACATGAATTTGCACATGGTTTGTCTTAAAGCATATCAAAAACACCACATAGACATATAAACAACATTAAAAACTTGATTTTCACCACAGGGGGACTTGACGTCGACTAGTCGCTGGTCATGGCCTATAGAGGGCGCAACAGAATAAGACATCTTTGAAGTCTACTTTATGCTTCGTTTACAAACAGTTAAAATGACAAATAAATGCATACTCAGAGAACGCTCAACATGAAATGTTTGATTATACCATCTGGATGCTCAAAATTGATCAGATGAAAATCTGTAAAATCTTTTTAAAATCTGTAATTTTACTTTTACTTAAAGGTGCTCTATGTAACTTTTCTACTAAAATGAATCCTTTTTTTATTGCCTGTGTGTGAAGTAGGGGTTGAACCGACTAGTCGATTAGTCGACTAGTCGACCTTAATGAAATACAGCGACGCTTTAAGCTTGACGTCGACTAGTCGCGTTGATCATGTGACACTATGATTGCGCTAATTTTGATACTAACATGTTGCAGACGACAACAGATGAAGAGCCCAGAGGGTCATTGCAGCAAGAAAGCAGCATTGGTACATCAAGTGTGTGTAAATACTTTACCAACCTAACACTAGATATTGTTGAAAACGAAAGTAAAAGCATGACGCACGCTCACTGTTTTACCGGAAATGAGAGTTCAGTATCTTTATTAAAATCATTAAAACATTTTTTTTTTCATTTATTTATTTAAACATATTAATGATGTAGCTAATTCACCCGCAATTAATTGGAATATTATTTTGTATTACTTGGATCTGCGCATCACTAAGGCGCAGATGTGAATTTATAGCTTTTTTTCCTTTTCTTTTCATCCTAAATGATGATGTAACTGCGGGCTGTTTACACCAGGCCACTTCATGTGTTTCTGTGATCTGATAGCTATCCGATCGTGAAAAGACCAGGTGTAAATGCCCTCCGAAGCGCACTCGAGACGGATTTAAATCCGATCGCTCAAATCGCTTCAGGAGGAGGTCTGGGCCGCTTAACAGACGAAACTGGACAAGTGTAAATGCATCTGGTTGTTGAAACCACATATGTAAATTGGACTTCTCCCAAAAATGCTAAAAATAAACGTGTGAGAGCGTATTATAGCGATGAAGCTATGGCAACACCAACACGCATATGAGCAGCTCGAGCATCTATTCATCAAGCCAACGTGAACTATCGCAAATCAAACTGAAAGTAAGTCGCAGACGCTTAACACACAATCATCTTCGTTAAAAGTAAAGAAACAAAATGATCTTACCAGTGCTGTCTCTCTTATTGCGGTCTTTAATTTTTAAATTAGCTGATGATCAATAAAATGCAGCTCATATTGTTGCTTTCGGTGACGTGAACTCCGTTAAATCTGCATAGCGCGTTGTTTGAAGATCGGATATCTGTTTTGCGAAATTTTTTTGCATATTTATGTGACCAGGTGTAGGCTAAATGGAATCGTTTTGATAAATCAGATCAGTAAAAACGCATGAAGTGACCAGGTGTAAACGGCCCCATTATGAGCTGTCTGTCAGCATCTGTATAATTTTCTGTTAATTACTTGCAAATTGTGGCATGTTGCAAAGCAGTCCCATCTCTTGTGTTTTTATGAATGACGTCATCGACTAGTCGACGTCGACTCGACTTTGATGTCATAACAGTCGACTTCAAAAAATCTGAAGTCGTTCAACCCCTAGTGTGAAGGGGTTGTAATCACACATTAAAATGATCCACTTGTCGAGTTTTGCTATTACCTCTGAAGGCCAGTATTCCTATTTCTATGTTAAGTCTCCGGGTCGGATTTACCGCGAAATCCAACAGATGTGACGTGCATGCGCGCTCCCGAGCCTCTCTCCTTATATACAGTCTATTGTAGACGGTCAGGGAGTTACGTCCGGTTAAAGGCGCACGTTTTTCGGCTTATATCTCAGTCAATCTTTGATCAATATTCCCAAGACTCTAATCGTCCGTAGTGCTGGACGGGGCCTTTCGAACGAGCCCACCCCCGAGGTCCAACTCGCCCGGCTCCCCGAGTTATATCCGTTCGAAATCGGGGGTCCCAGCGAACGGCGATCCGGTAGGGGGCATCCCCGAGGCCCGCCACTCTAGCGTTCGGGCAAGGGTTCCCCTGGGACCTCCTCCCCCGAATTTGAGATCTCTGGGTCTTTGCGTTCCAGAGATACGAGCTATTTTCTTCTGAGATCGTGACGTCACCGGCGTCCGCAATTTTGCAGCGCGCCCGATGGTTTTCTGCTAATATCTCCGCGAAAACACCACCAAAAACTATGGAACTTATATGGTTCTTTTCAGCTCGACTAGATGGTCCCAACGAGCTCGGTGCTCGCCGAATCCGTCTAGTATTCGCCGAGATATTTGCGTAATAGACGGTATTGTCTATGAGTTCGAGCACGAGCGCTCTTGTAAAATTTGGTTGCAATCTGAAACATCACCACTACAGGCCGCTAAAAGTTACGTAGAGCACCTTTAAGTATGTTTTGTACAAAGTACAATTTTATTGAAGTAATAGTACTTTTACTTGAGTAGAATATTTTAGTACTCTTTCCACCTCTGCCAGGTGATGCAATGAACGTTCTAATCACACAGGTGTGATCGTATGCGTCAAAGGATCAAGTGGCACCGAAATAGTCTGGTACCATTTCTGATTTGGTCTGGTACATTCCGGTCATATAGGGCGTTTCGGTACCCAACCCTAGTCGCCGGCCAATACAATTGTCGCGTTTAGACACATGATTCAGACACCGGTCATGCTGAGGCGTTCCCCATTAGTGTCCTAGGACGCAGTGTCTAGTTCCCCTTCTCAGGGAACCAAGGTTACTTACACTTGTTACCAGAGACGGTTTGTTTTATCGTTTTCCAGCAAAAGCATGTTTATAAATTTATATCCGTCATGTAGTTTATGGATCCAGCTCACAAAGAAATGTTTCTGTGACCATATTTAAAAAATGATAGATATAGATGTATAATTTCCAGCTACATTTCCAGCTAACTAAAAAGTATTTGTAAAAATATAAAAAGTAAAACTAGTATAATTTATAGTATAAAGTATTATACAGCATTATGGAGTAACGAGTTGTTGTTGTTGTTGTTGTTGTGATCAGTACCTCCTGTCTCCTGTGGGGCTCCTGCGGATCTCCAGGCTCTGAGCCGGTGGTGCTCCTCCTCACTCTGCGTCTCCTCACCACAGGGCTGGCCTTCATCTCATCCTCCTCATCCTCACTGCTGCTGGTACTGCCGTCTCGCTGCACAGGCTGATCCACTGGGAAAACTGTGTACAGACAAAAACACACACAACCCAGAGGAATTAATATCTATTGTTCTTAAATGAAGCCAATTATAATTACCATTGAGTGGTGTGGCATCAATGAGTGAATAATAAAAAAAATAAAAGTAGCAATACATAAAAAAACAATACCTTTAAAAAACATAAAACATAAAATAGCAATAAATAAAACTAGACAGACGGATAGACATAGACAGACAGACAGATAGATATTATCATATTATCAAGAACTGGGATAAAAGTTTATAGTTCGGATATAAACACTGATGCCTACGGATTTCAAAATGGACTAAATCACCTTTTGAAAGTAACATGGCTACATCAAGTGTAAACATGTATTTGTCATTGAATCATTCATTCAAGATATTTGTTCCAAAAATGATACACTCATGTCACGATTCCATACTATCAGAATATTTTAAGCCAAAAAAAAAAAAAATTGTTTTTTATTATTTATTATTAAAAAATATTATTACGTCTAATACACATAGTAAAAAGTGAACAAAAAATGTACTGTTGATTAAAATACTAAATTTGGTATGGACTTGGTATGGTTGTGGACTTAAAGGAGAACTCCGGTCAATTTTAACATTGAGCTCATTTTTTTTGTACATTTGGAGTGCTGTCAGTACAGACAAAAACGACAAAAATCGGTGTTGCCTACACCGTGTTATCCTCTTTTTAAAATTCGCACCCTGTTGACTTCAATGGGGCAAGTTCTAAACCTGCTTTTAGCCTCTTAACAACCTTAATATGTCATTACAAGTGCACAGCCATGTGAGTGGTGTTATTAAGAGTGACCACGGTCAATCTGACTGCAGTAGATGTGCAAGATATTAATAAAAATGATGTTAATTCAGCCAGCTCACATACCTGTATTTACTTCCTGTTTTCGTTCGAAGTCCACAGTAGTCAATTGTCGAGTTCGAGCGCGCGATCATTAGTTATATCTCTGGTTATGCGATCTCGACAATTGACTACTGTGGACTTCGAACGAAAACAGGAAGTAAATACAGTTCTCTTTCATCATCTCGTTTCGAGATCCACCTATGGGAAGGGCATCCGTACCTGACCTCTGCAGAAGCATCCAATTGCACCAAGTCTGGCTAACAGACAGAAGCGCGCAGTCAATGCCAGGTGAGGCCACACCCCCTTACCTACGGGCATATCACAGCTGGGCGCGCTGCTATTCCTCAGTTGACATTCGCTTCTCGCAATCTCTGCATTGACACAGTTCGGTTGGATTAACGTTTTACGCTGCTCACTTTCGAGTCTTCAGGAGGACATATCGCCAGATCAGCCTCCGCCAGACGTGAGTGACAGTCGTTTCTTCAGCCTATCCGCTGTGTTTTTTGCATCCGGAGCCGCCCGAGCTCTCGCTGTCCTTCACCTACTCCTCCTTTACATGGCTGCCCGCCACGGATTTTTCCGAGTTCTTCACCGCTGGCCCACCCATGGCTATGTGACCGTCTAAACAGCCGCTTCCCACGGGGAACAGCCTATCACGACGAGCCTGCCCGGCCGCGTGTGGTGCTCTCATCGCCGCTAAGGACCCTCTTGTTCTGCGCGGTCTGCTTGGGCTTAACACGCTCAAGCTTTGGAGAACCCGGAGAATTGCGGTCATTGTAATTGCTGCCCATGTAGCTTTTACTAAGCCGGCTTTTAGTTGCACGACACAGCGCGCCGTGCTCGGCCTTTCTGACTCGGAGGGGAGACACGGTGATGATGACGCGCTACCGGGGGACTCCCGGAGCGCCACCTCTCTAAAATATTTGAGCTGACATCAGCCCAAACCGCATTCCCTGAAGAGGACATCTTCGCGGGAAAACCTCACTCTCGTTGACGAACCGGTCGGTTCCGGCGACGGGGATGACGCGGTCCTTTTAGCGTTCCCTAGGCTAGCGCTCACGCGGCTTTGCCTCAGTCCATCCTCCTGGAAGTTTGTGAGCGAACGGCCGTTCGTCTCAACATTGTGTGGCCAGCTCCACAGAGCGCCACCGACCAGCATAGGAATATTTACGACGGGTAAACGCTGGGACTACCGCCCAGTCTGAGGAAACAACTCTTAAGATTGTTTTTTCCAGCGTTCGCGAAGCTCATAAGCACGGCTGGAGCGTCCCGCTAGACTGTTAACACGGTCTCACGGGCCTTGATGTGTTACGATTACGTGTTGAGGTTTTCAATTTATGCCTTCCTAGGAAGGCGGTCCCGAACGCAAGCGGCCTGCCTGTTGTTCGACCATTGGGAGTAACGTTAACTCAGGGTCTCCCACCTACGGTCGGTTAATCCCGTCTCGTGGCTGCCCAGCCGGTGTGTTAGTGGACGTTGTGTGTGTGTGTCCCCCTCCCCCCCAAAACAACAAGTTACAGGGGGGGGCTGTCGTGAGGAAAAGTACATAGCAGTGTTACCACACCGCACGCACTTGGTTCCCCTCACCCAGTTATTAAAGGCTTCGGCCCCAGTGTTTCCCAACACAAAACACACACATTACTCAACAACACATTTAATAAACGAATCAAATGAATTCGTGCAGATTTATATATCTGCCAACATAGAGAGCAAATCTCTCTGATCCGATGCATGTCGCCCTGAGTCCGTCCACAAGAGGGCGCCATTGCCTCACAAATCAACCAACTGGGCTCACACAGCTCAGTTGCGGCTGTCCAGCCGATGTGTTTTTAGTGGACGTTGTGTGTGGAAGGCCCCTGTGTTCCCCAACACAAAACACACACATAACTAAACACTTAAAAAAAAAAAAAAAAAACACGAATTAAATAAATCCGTTACAGAGAGAGTATCTCTCTCCGCGGATATTATTTTTCTGCCTGCACTTGAGACTGCCCAGTTCATGTGTTCAGAAGATATGTGTTTTTCCCCACTTTTGGGGGCACCTTGTGAGGGAAAGTTCAGCACAGTGGACACCACACTATGTTCCCCTCACTCTGTCAATAAAGGCTTCGGCCCCAGTGTTTGCCCAACACAAAACACACAAAGCTACGAATCAAATGAATTCGTTTTGGAGAGAAGACCTCTCTCCGCAGAGAAAACTTCTCACTGCAGAGAGAGGAAATCCCTCCGAACCCCTGCATGTCGCCTCTAGTGTGCCCACTAGATGGCGCCTTTGCATCACAAATGAACCAGCTGGGCCCATACAGCTCCGCTCCGGCCCGAGCGGGGGCGCTCGCGAGTCACAAACCCGAGTGGGTTTTTGCGTACCGTAACCCAGGGTTACAAGCTGCAGTTTGCAATAAAACCTCCGCATTTCAACGGCGTTCTCTCTTCTCACACAGAAGAAAACGCCTCACACATTCTGAAAGAGGAAATTTCCTCCCTCCTAACAAGGGAGCGATTCAGATGGTGCCACCCAATCTGATAAACCATGGTTTTTATTCCTGGTATTTTCATGTTCCAAAAGGCGTGGCGCCCCCCGCCCTATATTGGACCTTCGAGTGTTGAACAAACATTTGAGGAAATACAATTTCAGAATGTGACACAAGGCTCTCTCGCCTGTGCCATAAAGCAGAACGACTGGTTCACATCAGTCGATCTGAAAGATGCTTTCTTTCACATAAGCATCTACCCTCCACACAGGAAATATCTTCGTTTCGCCTACCAAGGCATTTGTTACGAATTCACAGTTCCTTCCGTTCGGGCGCAATTTGAGTCCCCGAACTTTCTGTCTGTGTGCGGAGGTGGGCGTGGCGCCCCTGAGACTATCAGGGCTGAGAATTTTGACTTACTGGCTCATCATAGCCAAATCAAAGGAGAAGGTGTCGCTGGACACCGGCCGGGTGCTCGCGCACATCACATCCCTCGGGTTCAAGGTGAATGCGAGCAAAAACAATCTGACTCCCAGTCAGAATGTCATTTTCCTGGGCTTGGAATTGAACTCAGTCTCCATGCGAGCGCGTCTCTCTCAAGAGCGCGTTCGCTCGCTGATGGACTGTTTGTCTCAGTTCAGAGAAGGGGCGAGAGTACAATATCGCACATGCCTCAGGCTGCAGGATCTCATGGCTTCATCTATCCAAGTTGTGCCATTGGTCTCCTGAGAATGAGAGCGTTTACGAAATGGGTTTTGTCACTACATTTCAGCCCGATTCGCGATCTCTGCCGCTCGGTAACGATGACGCGCGCCTGCTCGGCGGCCCTGCGCCATTGGGAGAGCGAGAACTTTTACGCACGGGGAACCCCCCTCGGGACGGTACGATGCGAAAAGTTTTGACGACAGATGCGTCCTTAACAGGCTGGGGAACCACCCAGGAAGGCAGAACGGTGAACGGTCTGTGGCTGAGCAGACGTTCAGCGCACATTAACTATTTAGAGCTTTTACTATTTGGAAAGCTCTGAATCATTTTCTGCCTTGCCTGCAGGGACATCCCGTTCTAGTACGGTGCGATAATACCACGGCAGTGGCTTATATCAACCGTCAGGGTGGCATGCGCTCGTCGAAACTCCACGCTCTAGCTTACAGGCTTTTGGTGTGGAGCAGACAGGTTTTTCTGTCATTACGCGTGACTCATGTTCCGGGCATTCGGAACAGAGGCGCGGATCTGCTATCGAAGGGAAACCCAATCTACGGGGATTGGTGTCTTCACCCGCAGATAGTGGAGAGGTTATGGATGAGATTCGGACAGGCAGCCGTAGATCTTTTCGCCTCGCGCGAAAATCACCATTGTCCTATGTTCTTCTCGCTAAAGGACGTGGACGCGCCCCTCGGGGCAGACGCACTGGCCCACCCATGGCCCAAAGTGCTGCTGTATACTTTTCCTCCCCTGTGCCTGATAATTTTCACACTGGCCAGGGTGAGAGAGCACGGCCTGTCTCTCATTCTGATAGCACCCAGGTGGCCCAAAGCCCCGTGGCTGGCAGAGATAATCCCTCTGTCATACACCGAGCCATGGCGCCTCCCCCCTCGCACGGACATACTGTCCCAAGCCAACGGGGAGATTTACCACCCCCACCCGGACAGGGTGGCTCTCTGGGCC